TGGGAGTTAATGGCAGGAACAAATACATGTGTGTACACTCAGGCACATAGACATGTCCTGAACACAGTTGTATAAACTCTACTGCATAAGGACCAATGGAGAGGATAGAACATATGGAGAACTCTGGTTGGAGTTAATCATAGAATCGTTCAGGTTGGAAAAGACCTTCAAGATCATCCAGTCCAGCTGTAAATCTAACACTGCCAAGCCCCCACTAAACCACATCCCTAAGTGACACATCTACCCATCTTTTAAATACCTCTGGGGGTGGTGACTCAACCACTTGCCTGGACAGCCTGTTCCAGTGCTTGACAACCCTTTCAGTGAAGAAATTTTTCCTAATATCCAAACTAAACCTCCCCTGGTGCAACTTAAAGCCATTTCCTCTTGTCCTATCGCTTGCTACTTGGGAGAAGAGTCTGACCCCCACCTCTCTCCAACCTCCTTTCAGGTCGTTGTAGAGAGCAATAAGGTCTCCCCTCAGCCTCCTTTTCTCCAGGATAAACAACCCCAGTTCCCTCAGCTGCTCCTCCTAAGACTCGTGCTCTGGACCCTCACCAGCTTCGTTGCCGTTCTCTAGACAGACTCCAGCACCTCAGTGTCTTTCCTGTAGTGAGGGGCCCAAAACTGAACCCAGTACTCAAGGTGCAGCCTCACCAGGGCCCAGTACAGGGGGACAATCACTTCCCTAGTCCTGCTGGCCACACTAGTTCTGATACAAGTCAGGATGCTCTTGGGCTTGGCCACCTTGGCACACTGCTGGCTCATATTCAGATGGCTGTCCACCAACACCCCCAGGTCCTTTCCCACAGCAGCTTTCCTGCCACTCTTCCCCAAGCCTGTAGTGTTGCATGGGGTTGTTGTGACCCAAGTGCAGCACTTAGCCTTGTTGAACCTCACTGAACTGAATGAAACGACATTTGGTGATTGCTGATTCACATACAACTATTGCCTTTTATCAACTATTGATGAAAATGATCAAATGTCAGAGATCCCAGCTTTTCACTTGAAGTCTTCTGTATTCTTGATGTAATGAGAGCTGAAGAAAAAGAAAAAGGTAGTTGTGAAAGGCAAAATAAGCATGCAATTTTTTTAATAACTTCTGAAATTGAGTTCAAGTGTGTTATTCTGTGTGGTTGTTAAAGGAGTAACATTGGTGATTTTTGTTTCTGCTGAAAGAAGTGTGAGTTTTGTTTTTCAGATAAAAGGCAGTAATTTGTAATACAGGTTTTTTGATTAAGGCTTATAATCGTTAAATTTTGCATGCAGATGCCGGATATGAGACATTGTCTTTAGCAATTTTTAAACAATGGAATGATTTGTTGGCTATATTTCAGAAATGATTAACTGTCAATAGCTTTTTTTGAGGCTATTATAATTTTACAGAGGAAATTATGTGATTATTATCCCTGGGGTAGTAGCATATGGATCTGTACCATACTTCACAACTTAAAATAATGTAAGCTTCAAAATTAATAGGTACTTATGGCTTCTGAATGATTTAAAGGGAAAACATAATGTCCAGAATTTCATTAAAACATGTATTAAAATGAAGCAACTTTTAGTAAAGATAACCCTGCAACCAGAAGATTTTATAGGAAACAACTGGAAACCCTCAGTATGTATAGCCTGGCCCTGAGAAAAGAGATTTTTTCCCGCTATCCTGGATGCAATTGCTATAAGATTGCATGAATGTGCTTCTACGTTTATGTGGTATCGCCAACTGATCCCTATTTTATCAACTCACTGCCACCAGCATTTTTATAGTCACTAAATTCTATGTGCACCTGTACCCAAACCCATTCAAATTAAATGAAGAACAAAGCTTAACATTTTGGTGTATTGTCTGTTGTGAGGAAAATGATGTCCCAATTTGCACTCTAGTTACTCCAGCCTTATAAAGGAAAAGGAGGGTGGGTTGTACCAAGGTCCTGAATGTGGTGGTTCTACAACTTAAATGGTGAGCCTGAGTAAGAGAGAAACCCTGTCTCTTTTTCCTCAAATGACTTACATTAACAATACTTATCTAAGAAGCCAGTAAATAATGTAAGCTTGGCACAATTTCCATTAGTATCATGTAGGTCTGGGGTTAGCCTAGCTGGGTTTAAATAAAGCCCTATATCTTCATTTAATAATGAAAAATAGTATCTGTTATCTTCTAAAGACACTATTTGTAATGTCTAGTAGTAGTAGCTCTATATATCTGTAAATACGTGTGTCTCACAATGTAAAGGTGGACCTTATTTAACTATCTGCTTTGTTACAGCTTACAACTCTGTTATCATTTCCATTTCCAATATAGTTATTTTAGCACCTTTTTAGAATCATTATGACTGCTGTGCATTTTCTTTTTTCAGGTGATAACTCATTTCTTTGGAAAATGTAATAGAGTCCTTCTAAAAAAATTCTTACCTAGTTTTTAAAAACATATGCAGTTGTTTTCATGTAAGTATGTTGCTGTAGCCAGAATCTGGAAGTGTATGTGAGTTTTTTGCAGTGTGTTTACAAATATCTTCCCATATCCATGCAGCTGTCATTATTTTATCTTTGGCAAATGGGGATATAAAAGACTAAATTAGAGTTATATATAAAGCTGCAGTATCTAGCATAGGAGCAGGATATAAAGACTTCTAAAATATTTGCTGAGTACTAATTAGAACATGTGCTGCTTCTATGATTTCTTTGTATCAGGCCTCTGCATTTGGAGAGGAAAAAATTATAAATGTTTAGATTAAGGCTGTGATTTTTTTTTTCTGCCCTGAGCTCTTTCTGTTTTTTAAGAACAGTAGGCTTGGATGTCTGGAAATGCTGTATTGTTTACAATCAAACAATGGATCGATACAATGAAAAACACAGAACACTCAAGTTATGATTTCTGTTGATGGACTGTGCATCTGAGGAAAACTTCATTATTAAGAAACTGTGAAGGCTACTGCTATAGAACACAACAAATAGTATTTTTCCATCAGACCTCCCACATTTACACCATTATTTTCATATACAGTTAAAATAAAGCTGAAATCCACAATATCATTTTAGATGAATGTTTCATGGTGAAGTTGCAGGGAAATTAGGAAATTTTTTTTATCAAAGTTCTGTGTGACAACGTTGAGATACAAACTCAGTGATCATTGCCCATGATCAAAGCTAAACAAACTGCTTCACTTGAACCTTCTCTTTATCTTGTGCTTTGTTGCTTTGTTTCCTATGCAACAGTTCATAAACATTGTGGAGCCTACTTTTATGGATATGCAAAGTATTAGTCTTTTTCAGAGTCTGATTCTCATGATAAAATCCATTCCTTCTTCCAAATATTTGGGCACATTGAAAGTGAACAAAAGAGAGGCTGGAAAAGAGCGCATCTTTTGTCTGTCTTGGGAAACCACACTGCCGTTTCCTGCCACTTGAGTGAGGGGTTGGAGCAGGCAAATGTCCAAGCAAATACTTAATGTATTTTCCCAGTGCTGATCTTGTAAAGACATTAATAAGATTGATTACAATTGTTAAGTGTGGGATTCATTTGCCTAAATGTAAATGAATATAGCTGAGCTCAGCTTCAGCTCCCATTATAATATAAAAGAAACATATGTGGTAGTAGTAGAGGGAGTATCCTGAAAAACCTGTATTGATGCTCTAAGTGTACCTAATCCCCACCCTCTACACACATACACTCTTTCCATTTTTTCCTTTCTCACACATAATTGCAATTACGAACTCCAGCACTTCTATAAAGTCACTGTCTACTCTCTTCTCGAAATATAAACAATATATTCTAATAGAAAAAGCAAGAGAGGAGCCAGGCTTCAATTAGAGGTCATAGATTCATAGTTAATTTAGAATTTGGCAGTTGACTCAGATGTGATTGGCAAGGAGATTTCCAAAAGGCTGCAACTGTAAATTGGAAATAAATGGAAAAAGATTATGTGAGTGGGAGTCAGCTTTGAATCTATAATGCATGTCCCAAGACTGACTTGCTCATAAAAGAGTGTGTGTTTAATGTGTCATAAAAATATTTAAACCACATTGGTCTTTGTATAAATATTTCATTTTTAAAGGTGGATTCTGAAGTGGCTAAAAATGAATTCAGGGTGCATATCCTTGCCATCAGCATGAAGAATTGAAAAAAAAATCCAATCACCAGAAACTTATTTTCCCCCTTCCAGACTCATATTCTTGCAAGATTTTTTAATGTTGTCTTTTGTGTCCAAATCAATTTTTTTAGTCCTTGCTGTATCATCTGGTTTGTTACATAGTATTCCTCTGAGAGAAACTATGGATCTATTCTATTAGGAGGCAGTTTGGAGTCAGAACGAGGTGCTGCCAAGAATGCGTTCATGTATGAGTGTGTGAACGTGGGTGACTGACTGAGATGTCCAAAAGGGAGACTTGTTTGTGGTCCTTCAACTACTTCTGTTCCAAAGATGATATATGTCTGTAAATAAAGCAAAATATATTTTGAATGTGCCCATGTTCTGCATCATTAGTTTTTTCACTGATGGGAAACTAAACTGCAAGAATCCGAACATCTGCTACTACCTGGCAGCTCAAGCGGCTCAAGGAAGGAGTGACAGCAGCTAGAAAAAAAAAGGCAAACAAACAAACAAAAACAAACAAACAAACAAAAATCTCTAAAATAATCTCTATTTTTCTTTCTGCTGTTTTCTTTAACTAAATACAGTTGTCTTAGTTTAGCTCAAAAATAATTTAGCTCAACCTTCATGTTAGTACTGTATCTAGGGAATAGTTTCTAGGGTTATAAGGAAATTATTTAATAATGATAGAGAAAGAGGGAAGTGCGTGACCAGAGCTGCACTCACCACATCACGATCTACGAGCGTGTGGTCAATGGCCCTTTTGGACCTAAACCGATGCCTGAGTCTGTACTTCCCCCATCTGTAACAGCATGTGAAATACAAATGAGTGCTAACTTCTCCAGTGTTGCTCTAGTGCATAAGACTTAGACCTCCCTGACTATGGTCGTTTTATACTTTTCCTTACAGGTGAAATCTGTGCTTTTAAAATTCATGGACAAGAAATGCCCTTCGAAGCTGTTGTGCTAAACAAGACATCTGGAGAAGGTCGTCTTCAAGCAAAAAGTCCTATTGACTGTGAACTGCAGAAGGAATATACATTCATCATCCAGGCCTATGACTGTGGATCAGGACTAAGTGGAACAAACTGGAAGAAATCTCACAAGTGGGTGAAAATGAGAATTATTTTTTTGCTTTGACTCTACAGTACAGGTCAGATCAAAGGGCTTCTTTTTATTATGTAGTTAGCTAGAAAGCAAATAAAACTAAGATGAACCATTGTTGTAATAACCCATCTACATTTTATTCCTTTTTTACTTTTAGAAAATATTTTTCTTTTTTTTCTCCTGCAATTTTACCCATTCTGCAGTGGTTCCAGTTTAAGCTTTTAATAGGGTCTGTGTTCAAGCAGAGAAATGCATCTCAGTTTTGGTTTATTTTTTCATTTTTGCTTTCACATTAAGTATATTGACTAAAGAGATTATCCAGGACATGGAAGTTAGCTTTTAATTGATACTTAAAAATTCTAAATAGGTTTTCTCTCTGTGCATCTCATTTCATATGGTAAGAAAGGAGAAATCTCTTTTTTTTTCTTTTTGTCTGTATGTGCATGTATACAAGATGCAGCAGTGTTACCTTTGTACAGTGTATTTCTGATCTCAGCTTTTGGGCAGCAAGTCTCAGAGGAATTAAAATCCTCCAAAAGAGGCGGGGTAGTGAAGGTTAGTAGGTGGTACTTTTTACTGTGGAGCTAATTGCCTGCATAAGCTTAAGTGGCACAGTGCCTTTTTTCCCCTTCAATTCATGAAACTAAGGTCCAGACCATTTGTTGTTAAAGATGAATTAAACTCACATGTGGATGTATAACTGCTGTACAAATTGTTCATTTTGCTGAAAGTCATTTAAATAAATGATTAATAGTAATAGTTATTCCTTTTGCTCATCCAGGACATGTGACAATTAAAAAATTAATTAGCTCTATAATGCACACTGAAGTTTTTCAGGATATTTTAAAAGAATACACAGTTAGAAGGAAGCCTGCAAAATCAAATAACCACCAAGTCACAGAAACAGTTTTTGCTTCATACTCTTCAACTTTGTTATGTTTTTCCCTCACGTGTCACTAATGAGATAGTATATTCCACTTATGGAAAATTTTGGTCTAATCCTGACCAGTTGAAATCTGGCCCATCAGGACAAGACTTTGTTACACTTTCTTGTAGTGGTCTGTATAGTAAACCACACACTGAACTAGGCTGTCTGGGGTCCCAACCTTTACTACCGACTCTGCCGTTGATCTAGAAAGTCCCTTCAATTCTCTGTCCCTCTGTTACCTTGCCTATCAAACCAGATAGCAAATTCTTTCAGACAAAGGCCTTTAGAATTTGCTTATTAAATACTAAAGGCCTAGTATTTTTGATCCTCAAAGGCTTACATGTAAAAATTGTAACTAATTAAAGCATTAGATAATTATAATTAGCAGAAGGTGAGAGGCTTATTTAATATTGAAGAATGTTCATAAACTGACCATATTTAGATAGTGAATATGTAAGACTACTGTAATTCTGTTGCTTTTTTTTTGCTTATTAACCCATTTTACACTGAAATGGTATCACTGACTCTCTGCTGGGGGGGGGTCCATTTTAAGAGGCAGATCAGTTTTAATAGGGAGAACTGTAAATCTCCGTCCCTACAAGTTGTGGCATTAGGTTTCTACCTAGTGCCACATTATGATATCAGATTGGGCAAATTAAATATGGAAGTTCAGTAAGATCTTATTTTAACAGATGTTTACATAGTTTTCTAGATGTGTTTTGTTACTCTTTCCAAGTGTTTTGAAAACAAACTGTTAGTGATGTGTCAGGTTAAATTCATTTTTCTCTTTGATCTCTTTATTTACCTATTTTAGGGCAGTGGTCCATATCCAGGTAAAGGATGTCAATGAGTTTTCACCAGCTTTCAAGGAGAGTGTGTATAAGGCCACCGTGACAGAGGGAAAGATCTATGACAGCATACTGCAGGTAGAAGCCATAGACGAGGATTGTTCCCCACAGTATAGCCAGATCTGCAATTATGAAATTGTCACAACTGATGTTCCTTTTGCCATTGACAGAAATGGTGAGTATGGAGAAGGAGTAATTGTAAGTTCTGGGACAGGTAGCAGTAATTTCTGTAGTTACTGTAATTATCTATTGACGTTAGCTGGTAACCTGGCCTGAGTTTTAATTCGAGAGTAATCCTGTTCTCATCTCTGAGAACAAAATAACCATTGCTCTGGGAAATTCCATCCCTTTCATGTAAGATTGGGTCAGAAAGTGCTGCAGTAATTTACTGTGGAAATTAAAACCCCATTTTTAGATGAACAATATGTTTTTTTGCCACTCAGTCCATTCTCTTAATTGTCTCAGATCTAGTTTCCCATCCAAGTGATGGCATTTCCTAATGCAGCATGTAACCCTACCTAATGGGATTTAGTCACTTGTTTGTAGCTAGTCCCAGTCTTCTGAACTTTCTGGAGCAGAGTCTAAATGTAGAACTGACAATATTCTGGATCTGTTTATTGATCGTTAAAACTTTCAGGCTGTGGGTCTGCAGATCTACCCTTTTGTGGTGCTTCCTGAAGCAAATACATTATTCTGGGGTATGGAAGAAAATATGCTTTGGAGAAGTACTATAATTTTTTGTGGTTTTAGATTTTAGTTGGTTTTCTAATGTATATAATATTATAGGAAAAATAATAAACCATATTAAGTTTTCCACATGCGATAATTTTTGACCTTGGCAGCCCTCTCTGTCAGCTTCCTGCTTTTCTCATCAGAGAAAAGCATAGAACTTGACACCGAGTTTGGGAGAGGTGGCTGGGGTGCATTAAAAATGTGTTGAATATCCTCCCTCCCATTCTCTGCTTGCTTCAGACAATACAAAATAGTAGCTTTGTCTTTCAGGTACTTCAGCAGTCCATGTTGGCATCACTTTGTAGATAGAGTCCTTGTTATTGATCTTCACGGGTGCACAATTGTGCAGAAGTTCAAAATGGAAATTCCTGTGCTTACAGAACTTGTTTCTCCAAAACAAGCACCCTGTGTTCATGCCCAGCAATGATCTGATTTATCTTTCCTAACAGAAGCATTTAATTCATGTTGTATGTAGGAGAATACAGTTTGGAAGTTAAATCTGATTTTTGGCCAAATTGGAAATTGAAAGCATGAATGGAGCTACTGTTTTCTCTAAGCAGTCATTGTCATGTTGGGATGCTTTATAAAAACCTTTTCCCCTATTAAAAAATTATTCATCTTTATTTGTGCAGTTCTTGCATAATGCATAGCTGAGCATCAAAAGATAATAACCTGTTAGCGTCAATAAATTGAAAATTACAGTGGGGAAAAAAGCCGTCTTGCTATAATACATTGGGAGGCAAGTATACTATATAAGAGGCATAATCGTAATGAGTATGTTGAAGTAAATGAGGTCAGCTGGCACAGTAATCTTTTGCCAGAGCAGTTGCACAAAGAATTTTTTACAGGAAGTGGCCATTTGAAAGTAGCTATGTGTTTGCTATTCCCTAGAAGCTTTTCCTCTCTACGGATATTTTTTTTTTCTAATTGTGAGATTTCCCATGTTGTCATAAAAGGAAGTTCTCCATGTTTCTGTTAGAAACCATTATTTTTCCAGAGGTCCATGTGACTTGCCAGTATGAGGCTGGTTACTTACACAAGTCGCAGGTGGTTTCATAATTTTATACCATAAAATAAATATCTGACTAAAACAGATTAGCATGATCCAGAGCAGACATTTCTGTTGCTTATGCCTTTTCAGCTCCTATCACACAGTGCAGGTGGCTCATGTGAGTGATCATGGGTGTTTTACAGTCAGAGGCATGATCAAAGCATGAGAAGTGTCAGGGATCCTTGGTTACATCTTTGTCTTCATGTGCCTGGGACCTGGTTTTCAGAAAAGGCAATGAGAAAATCATTGACTTAAACATGACTTTAAAGCCTGCAGTGAATAATTGGTAGAAGGTTGTAATACTTGCAGTTTCTTGGTCATGATTTCAATTAATATTTTTTGATCTATTTGTTCACTAAAGGCACAGTGCTGCCACAATCAACAGTAATTGCAGTCTAATTTGCATTTTTTTTTAGATAATGGTAATTGCTTAAAACTACTGGGATTAGAGACAGAGTTAGAATAGATGGTTGCACTTCTATTTTGTGACAGAAATATGTTGCTTAGTTCCAACACATTTCACTGCTGAGAATGTCTCTCTATGCCAGCTGATATAACCTTTCTCTGGTGGAAATTCTTTGGCATTGTACCCATTTTTGTTACCTATAAGATGATTAAAATAGATGTATGAGATGCCTGGGACTGTCTGTTAATACTGTGCTAATTAGGATTTTGTTTATAGGGTTTTTTACCCATTGTGAAAAACAAATCTAGGTTCTTGTGTCTTCCTCAAGTTATGATTTTTTTCTGCTTTTCAGTAACACAGATGTGGAATTTCATTGTCCAGAAAGAGTATTTGATCCTTAGAATGAAATCTAAATATTGAAGAGGCCCCCAGAAGTAGGGGGTGTGTGATGAAAACATGACATTATCAGTCCCAGATGGTGAATTTTTTTCACCACTGACCTATGATACTAACCACAAACGCAGGCCTTTAGGAACATGAACATGTTATTCCATCAGCTGTTTTCTTATGGGAGATCATTGTCTTTTAGGCAAAATTTATTTCTTGTATCTACATCAAGCCAGGGAGCATTTTATTATCTTGAAAAATTATATTATGCGTTGAGGAACATTAGCAGAGAGGAAAAGACGACCCTTCAGACAGTAGCAGTGCACAGTCTACTTCACATCACCGAACTGTGTGAGGCACAAGTTAATAGGCCCCCAGAACTGGCACTGGAAGCAGCATTCGGCTCTGGTGTAGTTCTTGTACATATTTGTCAGTTAGGCACCTAAAGGTAGGTAATATAAAGCTTCCTATTTACATTTGGCAACTTTGACTGTTGGTACGTATTTTTTTTTGTGAATAAAATTACATTGTGTTATGAAACCATAACACAAATAATAATTGACTCTTGTATATGATGAGCCTAACTTGGAAGGTAGTGAATTCTTGATCATCAAATACAATTGTGTAAAGGCAAAGGCCAAATTTACATTTTTCTGTGCAAAGAATTGGGACTAAAAGCTTGAGATATAATATGTTTTAAGACTTTTGCATGCTGTTTCATCTAGTTGTCGTCTTAGCAGAGAATCCCAATCATCACATGAGTTATATTAATGTTGTGTAGGCTTTTCTCAGGCATCAGGAAAATTCAACCACAGTGCACGGATCTTTTGTAATGCCAGCAAAACAACATTTTTATGCATTTTTTGCCTTTGTTTGTGAGGGATAATGCTCAGATGATCAGAGAATTTAGATATAGATACAAATTCTGTCATGGCTCTGACCTATTCTCATGTCTAAAATAGGGATAACTATATTTGCCACCCACTACTGGGAAGCACTTCACAAATACATGTTCACATTGTTTAGTATGAAGATTTTGCCAAGAGAGGTTGGACCAGATGATCCTTGAGGTCCCTTTCAACTTTGTATTCTCTGGTTCTATGAAGATGAGTTACTGACTTATCTGTCCAGTCACTACAGGTTCTATCAAGTAGAAAATAGATGTGGACAGAATCTCACAAGGTAATCCTTTACAGCACTGAGATCTCTGTTAGGAGCTATGCAAACTTCATATTGTCAGAAAAGGAGCGAAACTACATAGTTAAGCATCTGCATGTGATAATTAACTGCTAAACCACAATTTCTTTCCATTATCATTGAAAAATGAACCTTATTGACAAGAAGTAATTCTAATCCTTCAGTTGACATATGGCCAAATACAGCTCCTGGTGGCTCTTGGCAGCTGGGAACTCCTATAAGCAGACTGAAGTCAGAGGCCACACATGTAACCTCGGTAGCCCTTACCTCTTGTAAGAGTTAGGAGATTCAGTTTTATACTTCTTATACACATGGGAAGTAAACATGGAATTAAAGAGGAAATTGCAATAGTAAATCAGTCAAGTCTTTCCCCGTTCTTGTGACTGCTCCAAAATAAGAAGACAGCCAGCCATAAAAGAGAGAAGTCTGTATCAAACTATGCCCAAAACTGACCCTGAAGAAACAGAAGTAAATATGTGTGTCCTCAGGAAGAAATTTTTATATTCCTGTTGTCACTTATCTGTTTCTGTTTTTTAAATCTGTTATAGTTTTGTGTGTTTCCAGGAAAAGGCAGAGATTTTGAAAGACAAAAAAAAAAAAATTATGTTCTAATTGTGAACTGTGTAGAAAAGTACTTACTTTTCCCATTAAAATTTTCATTTTATTAAAGTTATCAATTATCTTTTTATTTATGGATGAGATGTAAATAGAAATCCTCGGTCTGTCATCTCTAAAATTCTAGTCTATCTATAGTGCTTCCCTTCTGTGTCTACTTTTTAAACATATTGATTAAATTGTAAAATAACAAAGAAGCATAAAACATCAAAGGTAACAAAAAAATAGAATAATTAGGAAATCGATAAACTATCAAGTAACATCTGCAAGTCATCCAAATGACCTTTCAGAATAACACCTAATAGTCAGAATCTTTGTAGTCCAAATCTTAAAAGACCATAATGAAATACAAATCTTGGAAGACAGATTTACTGAAATGCAAATATGTTGTAATGATTTATAAATCTTAAAGGACAGTTAATGTGCCATACAAATTCTGAGTCTGATAATGTCGATTCAGACAGTTCTGCTTTCTTGAGAATTATCTCTGCTGAACATGGCCTAGAATAATGCGGAGGAGAACCAAATAGGGAAATACAAAGATTAATGTAAGAAATAATGTAACGTAGAAAGGAAAGAACAACTGAGCGGATATTAAATGAATCATTAAGTGTACAGTGGCAGTTTTTTATTAAATCCTCTTAGACAGGCACTAAAAAAGCAACTTGAGAGTTAAATAGGTAGATTAAATTGTTTTGACACTTCGCTCTGCCTGGGGATGGATGAGAGGTTGACCGGGAGCTTATGGCTCAGCATTAAAGGGAGGGCAGGGACAGGTGATGTTCTAGTGGGAATCTGCTACAGGCCACCTGACCAGGAAGACCAAGGAGAGGAGGTCTTCTGTAGACAGATAGGAGCAACCTCAAGTTCACAAGTCATGGTCCTCACGGGGGACTGCAACCGTTGTGCTGTCTGTTGGAGGGACAACACAGCCGGGCATAAGCAGTCCAGGAGATTCCTGGAATGCTTTGATGATAACTTCCTTCTCCGAGTGATAGAGGAGCCGACAAGGAGAGATGCTATGCTGGACGTTGTTCTCACCAACAAGGAGAGGCCGGTGGGGAGTGTGAAGCTCAAGGGCAGCCTTGGCTGCAGTGACTATGAAATGGTGGGGTTAAGATCCTTAGGGCAGCAAGCAGGGCACACAGCAAGCTCACTACCCTGGCCTTCAGGAGAGCAGACTTTGGCCTCTTCAAGGATCTGCTTGGCGGAATAGCATGGGATAAAGCCCTGGAGGCAAGAGGGGCCTAAGGAAGCTGGTTGATATTCAGGGATCAGCTCGTCTAGGCTCAGGAGCCTGCGCAAACCTCATGAAGTTCAACGGGGCCAAGTGCAAGGTCCTGCCCGTGGGTTGGTGCAATCCCAAGCACAAACCCAGGGTGGGCGAGGAGTGGCTGGAGAGCAGCCCTGTGGAGAGGGACTTGGGGGGTTGGTGGGGGGAAAACTGCTGAGCCAGCAATGTGCACTCACAGGCCAGAAACCACCCGTGTGCTGGGCTGCATCAAGAGAAATCTGGCCAGCAGGTCTTGGGAGGGGATTTCAATTGAAATGGACAGAATTAAAATGCTGAACTTACTATTTACAAAAACATGAGTTCTGCACAGTAATCTTCCAATCCTTCAGGAAGTGCTCCAAGAAAGATTTTTTTCCTTTCCTTGGGGAAGTGGTAATGCCTTTGTTCCCAAAACAAGTACTTTGTCAACCCTATGTATCTGTCATGTTTGGCAGATAATATCTGTTGTTGCTGAGTTTTATTTTCCATGTCATAACTTTATGCTGTCATATAAAATACCACTAAGTGCTCTAATTGAAGAGATTCTAGGGCTTTTCCTATTTTTAAAAGTCAGGGAAAGGTTTAAAGGGCTAAAAATCTCTCTCACCTAAAGAGTAGTAGCTCTAGGGAAAGAAGGAAGATACGTGGGCTGGGGACACGTTCATCAGTTGATCTCAGGATTGTGGCTGCCATGTTAAATTATTGTGTTCTGGGAAAATGTGGAAATTGAGGTTGCTTTTACTCATACTTTACATTTCACGGTGTAACTGCTAATCAGTCTTACTGTCTTATTTTAGAAAGTGTTGTTTAACAGATGTTTTCTAATATAGACATGCCTACATTATATCTGTAGCATCTTATATTTGTCTAAGAACTTCTTTATTTCTCTGCTGGATTGAAAGAAAATACTTCCCATTTCTCAAAGTGTCCTGCCTGTGGATGTCCCATGTGTTTCAAAGAGTTTTTTGGTCACGGAGGACTTGATTAACCAGGACCCAAATGGTATAGTCTGTATATGCTTAGCCAAGAAGTAATTTTTGAATGTTGTATTGAATCTATAGGTAACATCAGAAACACTGAGAAACTGAACTATGATAAACAGCACCAGTATGAGATAATGGTAACAGCTTTTGACTGTGGTCAAAAACATGCAACAGAAGATGTCTTAGTACGAGTTAATGTCAAACCAGTATGCAAACCAGGATGGCAAGGTAAGGTTCATATATTTTTAATTTTTTAAAATTAATTTTTTTTTTTTTTTTTACTGTTTTCCCTCCACCTCATGGTAAGGAAACCAGGGTGCTTATTGCAGTGTTGTAGAAAACTTTTACTATTTCTTATGCTTACTTTATTCCAAGCCTGTTAAAAAAGTGGATAATAATCCCATACTTAGTTGCATTTGCCGTGTTTCTTCTCTAGTCAGAACAAAGAACAAATTAGGAAAAAAGAAAAAAGAAAAATTTCTGTTATAATAAGCTATTTTTTAATTCAGTCTGAATATACTGAAACATTAAAAAAATGCTTCTGATTCACCTTTCTCCTACTACTCCTTTAGATAAAACTTGTGAAGCCACCATGACAAGCTAGTTTTCCCATGCGTGCCAGAGTTGTTCAGGTTATCTTGTTCCAGGTACAGATTTGGTTTTCAAGTGCACACATGCATGAGCCAAGGCGTGTTTGACTGGCAGAGGGAGCAAAAGGCATTTTTTTTTATTGTGACTGCCATCTTCATATTGAGACATTTCAGTAGCAATTGGTTTTCTAAAAAGATTGTAATGATCTGTGGTCTACTCTGTCTAAAATGGAGAAAAACCCAGCTGGCAATGTATTAGGAAGATAGATTAGCCCCAAATTATAAGGAATTAAGATGAAAATGAGGGCTAGATTAGGGACAAACCAACTGGATGTAACCACATTATGCAGAGGTCATTCGGGACTAACCTGATCTTCATAATTGTCATTTTTGAAGAGAATGATTGAGAAGAAAAAAAATCAGTTTGGCTGTCTTACTTGAAGGTAGATTTGCAGACTGACATTTAGAGGGATAAAGGTTTTCTTTGTGAAATGAGAAGCTTTGGTCTAGAGGACCTTATTAGGAAATGTGTGCAGTATTATGATTTCATTTTCACAGTCCTCACATAGAGTACAACCACGTTTTAATTTTGCAGGGATGTACTAGTTCCCCACCTACCCAAATATTTAGAAGAGCATCCTTTTTTTTAAGAAAAGTAGAATAATTATGAACTATTTTCACATTTTCTGATCTTGCTGTTCAAAACTCCATGATTTATTCTATAAAATTAATATAGTCTCTTTACACTGTAGAAATGCTCTGTTTCCATTTTATGGAGTCATCTCAAATAAATTAAACACTCCCAAATTAGCTTGGAATTTGTATTAAAATGGGTGCAATTGTTGATTTTTTTAAAATGTCCATATTATTTCCATTTACATTTTTTATTTATTGAATAATTTTTGCAAAGATACCTTACTAATGGTATGTTTATATTTTCCAATATTCACATACTTATTTCATAGTTCAAGCATCAATTGTAGGACAGATGGTCATTGCTTGTCTCATCAGGTGGGTATAGATACCAGGTAGCCAATAAAAGTAATAGAAACAACCTCAAATAAGGTTTGTTTGTTAGATTGTTTTTTATGCTTTGTTCATCTTAGATTATGTGAAGTGTTTACAAGGTATTTAAGTTTCTAATGAAAAGCTGGAATTCAGCTATTATTTTATACATGTAAAATTTATTTTCTTCTCTTCTGGAAGTCAGAGCTGTATGTGACTGATGATTTGTTTAACGCTAGTTGGTATTTAATATGAGAGGCTGCCAGCTTGTTATTTTTAGTGTGATGGTGAGAACATAGAGAAGACAGCATATATAAAGCAACATTATCTTAAAAAAGTAATGCAATACATAAGAAGGTTTAAAGCAGCTTGTCTAAAGCATCTTAGATGGGAAAGGATATATTTTGATAGCATTCATTATGCTTGAATTTGGGCTTTTTGTTTATTTCTGTGGCCATTTGGCACCAATATTCTTTCTCCCTTCTGATCTGATAAAGTTTTATGATGGGTTTTTATCATAGGCAAGGTAAAAATATGAAATAGCTCAATATGTTCTGCTCTAGCTTATTCCATGCCATCCATGTGGAATTGTACCTTTCCATCTGTCAAACTGGTGACTGTTTCTTTTCATTGGCATGTCTCCAGGTCAAATGGCACAAAGTGCAAGAGGCTAGTGTTTGCCTACTCAGGGTATAAGGGCGTTAGGTAAACACTTGGGTAGATATCAATTTAGTTCTTAAATACCAAGTCATTAATTATAATTTGAAAATTAGCTGCAACATAGTACTTCCAGAAATTTCTACATTTTTCTTAATGAGAGTTTTTTATGCCTCCTTATTTTTAAAGGTGAAGATAATCACACAGGTGATATTGTTTCTACTCTGAGCCAATATCTGAAAAAATTAACTTGTGCTAGGGAAGAAAAAAAAAAATCAAATAAGCAAAACTTACTAATAGTATTTCCAGGACTTAAAGAGGAAATCTGGAGACTGGGAATGGAGGTTATTTAGTGTTCGTTCTTCCCTGTGTCTGTCACTCTGACCTCCCCGCAAAGAGGCAGCCAGTAGGTATGCTTCATCTTTGGAATAATTATATGTTTGAAAAGATTGGATGACTTAAGGAGGTACAGTGATGTTTTGCTTGACAGAAAAGATTAATATGTTGAGCCTTTGGCTATAACATAGAAGTTGCCAAAAGATGATTTGGGTTTTGTTTTTTTTTTTCTTGTTCTTCTTTGTTAGCTTGAACAAGTAAATATTTGGAATTTCAATTTATATCATTGGCAGTTAGTTCTTAACAGTTACTGGCTTTAGTAATCTGAAATATTGTACAGTTCTTTCTGCAACTGTTGTGAACAGAGTTTGTGGTAGTCTAATGCAAATTCAGTGTTAAAAATTTCAGTGCAATAAATTTCAATGCAGATACCCTCCATTGAGCAGGGGTGGGACAGGAAAGGTTTACATAAAACATTATTCCTGTTTCTAGAGGCTGATTCTATACATGACTGATATGTACAGCAGAGCAAATAAGACTCAACAAGCCAAGGCTCTATCCTTTAAACAGTCTTTCCTTGGGCTAATAGCATTTAAGTCTTCATTAAATTAAGGAGGTGCTTCCCTACTTCTTGAAGAGGGACATTAATATGCAATCAACAAGCATTCCCACACAGAAATTTTCAGCAAACAACGAGACCCCACTCGATTATGAGGCTACTTTAGAAACAAACTTGACCCAAATGGACATCAAACCATTCTGAGCAGACTACTCTGAAGTGTTCAGTGTCCTAAGCAAGCTAAAGATGTAAATCAATGAACTTAAATAATTCTTAATCGTTTTTTTTTTAATTAAAAAGTGTCATTAGTGAGTTTTGTCAACTGACCTGTACAGCTACTCTACAAATTCTCTTCATGCTATCTGTATGTTAACCTCCATGATTTTCAAACAATGGAGTCATCACTACCAGGTAAGTAAAGAGACTACATTATAAAGAAATGCTAGATGATAGTATTTCTGACACCATAATAGGTAGATTTGCAGTTGAAGTTATTTCTACTTTTTGTTTACTTTTTTTTTTAAAAAAAAAAAAAACACAATTAGTGGGTTTCCATACCAAGAACAACCCTATTATCTTCAGCACATTCCCTGGGATTCTGTCCATTCCTCCCAGGCTCTGCCTTTGTTTCAGTTCTACATACACAGAGCAGACACTGCACATTTTTCCTGTAGATTCACTTCCAGTGTAGTTCTTTTCACTACAGTAGTTTTAACATCACAAGTAGTGATTTCTGTAAAGTTATTTCTGCCTTATTCAGAGCCGGGTAGACAGACTTCTGGCAACACAATACTAAATATCATTATAGTATTTTCATTTAAAAACATGAGGTGAATAAGAAAGAGTCAAAACCCTGTAATCAACATCATGTTTTCTTTAGCTTATTTATGATACCATAATATTGTCTTTTCTTATTGCTGCTACTTTTAGGAACGGTCTCCATAAAACTGCAGTTGTTACTGTTCCCCCTAGTGGGATAACAAATGGAAATAAAATATAAAACAGTGTGCTGAAGGATGCAAGATAGCAGAAAGTTGAAAATAATTATTCCTGTACTGTAGTCTCTGGTGAATGATGTACTACATAGGAAGAAAATAAAGAGGAGTTTAGCCTCAAAAATGAAGAGCAGAGTCATGTCCCCAAAAAATTAAAATATGTTTTGAGACTGCTAGAGGTCTGCTCAACTACTGACAATTAAACCAAAAGTCAGGTTGTTCCCTAAAATGCAATTGATTTCAGACAGGAAGCATTATTAAGGCATAAAACAAAAAAGCTCCTCTAAACCAATCAGCTGAATAATCCAATAAAGTATCAGAGGACTCTGCTGTTTCTAAAACAAACAGGGAAGGTTGAATGTATTTTTGAGGGAGGTAAGTATGTAAAAAAGACAACAGTCCAAAAATTATAAGTCACCTCGTCTGCTCTGACCAAAGAGAACTTAATTTTTTGCTGCCAAATTTAATATGGTCCTTGAATAAGCAATGCTCACTAACCTCCAATCTAAGAATAAGTTAGGACTGATTAGAAAACAGGATTTCACAGCATCCAGCCTGAAGTTTTTTACTAATTTGAAAAGATTTCCTACACCTACCTTCAAGTCTTGTGAATCCATATACACGCTTAACCTAATTACCTGAGGTAACAATATAAAATAGAAGTTCCTTTAAAATTCATCTTAAAAAAAATGTTCCTTAAAAATTCAATGACTTTCCACTTAGTGTTTGCTTAAAAATAGTTTTGAAATAAAAGCTTCGTTTTGTTTATTTACCTTAAAGACTATAAATATATTTAGTAAGAGTAGTTAGTGTATCAAAGATATTGCATGTTACTTCTTGTTTAAGTCATGTAGGGCTCACTGAGGCTTTGCTAGCACCAAAACGCACATTCTTACCATCTCTTTAATGTTGAATAGTCATTCAGAGTCCATGTGCAGGACAGATCAGCTCTCTCTTCCTGACAAAATATAATTTTTGTTCAGAGGAGGGCAGGAACTTCTCTTTTAGTAGCAGAGTGATCTTAGATCACTTCTGAGTCAACATACTTCATAGATGCTATTTGCAGTAGATGCTGAATGATTTTGC